AAGATTAGCCGGTATTCTCCCGGCCCGGGCCTTTTCTAAGTGGTGGCCCGGCCTTGGCTCCCTCTAGGAAGTGTCTGAGACCTAAGTCTCCCATGGGAGGAGGCACAAGTACCTACTCATCTTTGGGACCAACTGTCCCCAGGCCTAGCCACAAGCTAGGCCTCTCTGGTCTGCCATCCCCGCCCCAAGGGGGCAAATAGGAATGACAGTCTTATGAGCTAAAGGCTCGGGCTCAGGCACCTACCCTACCCTAGAAGGGTTAGGCATGGTGTCGATGAAGAAGCACAACATGATGCTGAACCTATTTCAAATTTAAGTTTTGGCATCCATGAACGTGATAATTTTATGGTACAGAATATTGTTTATAATCTTTGAGTAAAAATATTTTTCACAAAAATACAGTGTTTTAATTTTGTCAAAATATGTTTTTCTTAACTTTAAACGCATATTTGACAATGTGAATGTGTGGAAGATAGGTTTTTAGAGTCATCTTCATGGACTGGGCGGTAAGCCTACTGCAGTGTTCCTCCATTAATGTTTTTAAAGGTGATGGTCTCATGTTTAATTTGAAATTACTCACACACTGTTTTCTCTCATTGGTTGGACATCATTGTTTGACTTATTCTATTTAGAGGTTTGACATATTTGCAGTTAACTGTTTTATTTACAACTGTGTCCCTCAGTAGTGCAGGCAGTGCCTGCTTCGCGTGGACAAAGGTGTCACCACGAAGTGGAAGAATGGGCACACGGTTCGCCTGTCTCCCGGAGAGAGTTTCCAGCAGGCAGTACGGCTAGGTCATTAATTTTCCTCCCCAATATGAATCGAAGGGAGACTAGTAGAGAACTTCTGCAACCTGTATAAGGGAAAGACTGCAGAACAGTCTTAAACTAGGGACATTCTAGGCCTTATTTTAAGTTAAGGGCTACTGTTTTCTACATTCATTTACTTGTCTTTTTTTTCCGTTCGATCGACGAATATCGATAGTCTGAGAAACTGTCATATTAAACTATAGTTCAAAAAATAATCTAAATTGTTTACATTTTGACCTCTAGTTTACCTTTCCCCGCTACAATGAGTGATTTGCCTTGATTACTCCGAGTCTACCAGTTTCAGCTACAAGATGGGGTAAGACCTGCCTCATGAACTCTGAAATTCTATGCCAGATTAAAGGTGTTCAAACAAGAAAAAAACGGATAGGTCGATTACATATTCTTGGATTGAATGAAACCATTTGACACACTGCTTCAGTAAATATTGATTAATAAATAACAGAACCAGGAAGAGGTACAAGGAAAAGCCGTGGCTTCGAGGTAGTGTCTCCAACTCACAATCGAAGCTCATGAGTTCGATCCTTCCCTGTCCATCTAGTGAATAAAGTACCTAGGTGTTACTTGATTGCTATGGGTCGCATCCTGGAAGGAAAGGTGAAGGTAGTAGTAGTATAACTTTTAATTAAAATAGATGGCCCACAATAACAGCTTTTATCCTGTAAATTCTACGAACATAAGACGATGATGGTAAGGGGGGACGTATTAGTATGGAAAAAAGTAACAGGTGAATCCCAGAGTATCGATACTAAAACATTTACTAATAGTATACATAAATAGCCTGTCAAGGTGATTGAGTCCATTTTTTTTTTTTAAGTAAACCAAGTCCTAACCGATATAAGCTGGGAAGATATACTAAGCAACACAGACCTCAACTTATGCCTAGAACAGATTAACTTGGTGGCACTCGATGTATGCACAAGACTTATTCCTCTAAGAAAAAGGAGGAGTAGATGTAAAATAGAAAGAGACAGGCGCTCTCTTTACAGGCGACGGAAAAGAATAACAGAGCGGCTAAAAGAGGTCAATCTATCTGAAATGCGTAGGGAGACACTGGTCAGAGAAATAGCAAACATCGAACTTAAGCTAAAGGAATCTTATAGGAGTCAGGAATCGCGGGAAGAACTAAAAGCCATAAATGAAATCGAAAGAAACCCAAAGTATTTCTTCTATGCCAAATCAAAGTCGAGAACAACGTCCAGTATTGGGCCCTTACTTAAACAAGATGGGTCCTACACAGATGACAGCAAGGAAATGAGTGAGCTACTCAAGTCCCAATATGACTCAGTTTTTAGCAACCCACTAACCAGACTGAGAGTCGAAGATCAAAATGAATTTTTTATGAGAGAGCCACAGAATTTGGTTAACACAAGCCTATCTGATGTTATCCTGATGCCAAATGACTTCGAACAGGCGATAAATGACATGCCCATGCACTCTGCCCCAGGGCCAGACTCATGGAACTCCGTGTTCATCAAGAACTGCAAGAAGCCCCTATCACGAGCCTTTACCATCCTATGGAGAGGGAGCATGGACACGGAGGTCGTCCCACAGTTACTAAAAACAACAGACATAGCCCCACTCCACAAAGGAGGCAGTAAAGCAACAGCAAAGAACTACAGACCGATAGCACTAACATCCCATATCATAAAAATCTTTGAAAGGGTCCTAAGAAGCAAGATCACCACCCATCAGTTACACAACCCAGGGCAACATGGGTTTAGAACAGGTCGCTCCTGTCTGTCTCAACTATTGGATCACTACGACAAGGTCCTAGATGCACTAGAAGACAAAAAGAATGCAGATGTAATATATACAGACTTTGCAAAAGCCTTCGACAAGTGTGACCATGGCGTAATAGCGCACAAAATGCGTGCTAAAGGAATAACAGGAAAAGTCGGTCGATGGATCTATAATTTCCTCACTAACAGAACACAGAGAGTAGTAGTCAACAGAGTAAAGTCCGAGGCAGGCACGATGAAAAGCTCTGTTCCACAAGGCACAGTACTCGCTCCCATCTTGTTCCTCATCCTCATATTTGACATAGACAAGGATGTCAGCCACAGCACCGTGTCTTCCTTTGCAGATGACACCCGAATCTGCATGACAGTGTCTTCCATTGCAGACACTGCAAGGCTCCAGGCGGACATCAACCAAATCTTTCAGTGGGCTGCAGAAAACAATATGAAGTTCAACGATGAGAAATTTCAATTACTCAGATATGGTAAACACGAGGAAATTAAATCTTCATCAGAGTACAAAACAAATTCTGGCCACAAAATAGAGCGAAACACCAACGTCAAAGACCTGGGAGTGATCATGTCGGAGGATCTCACCTTCAAGGACCATAACATTGTATCGATCGCATCTGCTAGAAAAATGACAGGATGGATAATGAGAACCTTCAAAACTAGGGATGCCAAGCCCATGATGACACTCTTCAGGTCACTTGTTCTATCTAGGCTGGAATATTGCTGCACACTAACAGCATTTTTCAAGGCAGGTGAAATTGCTGACCTAGAAAATGTACAGAGAACCTTCACGGCGCGCATAACGGAGATAAAACACCTCAATTACTGGGAGCGCTTGAGGTTCCTGAACCTGTATTCCCTGGAACGCAGGCGGGAGAGATACATGATTATATACACCTGGAAAATCCTAGAGGGACTAGTACCGAACTTGCACACGAAAATCACTCACTACGAAAGCAAAAGACTTGGCAGACGATGCAACATCCCCCCCAATGAAAAGCAGAGGTGTCACTAGCACGTTAAGAGACCATACAATAAGTGTCAGGGGCCCGAGACTGTTCAACTGCCTCCCAGCATACATAAGGGGGATTACCAACAGACCCCTGGCAGTCTTCAAGCTGGCACTGGACAAGCACCTAAAGTCGGTTCCTGATCAGCCGGGCTGTGGCTCGTACGTTGGTTTGCGTGCAGCCAGCAGTAACAGCCTGGTTGATCAGGCTCTGATCCACCAGGAGGCCTGGTCACAGACCGGGCCGCGGGGGCGTTGACTCCCGGAACTCTCTCCAGGTAAACTCCAGGTATGCAAATGATAAGAATGGAATAAGAGAGACAGGCTACAAGAAGCATTGAATAGGATGCAAGGGTAGTCAAACTAGCTACTGGAGTTCCACCTCCAATAAATGGGAAAGGAAAGAGAGGACCATACACAGACTATAAACTGGAGGTGAAAAACTTCGAATACCATGCTAGGGGAAACAATCCGATTGAATGTCGCATTAATCACAGTATCACAGGAGGAGCACACACATCACGTAACATCAGCAGCATTGTGCAAGGTTAGCAATGTTAGAGCTGCTTGTAACACTTAATAACCCATACGGTTTAAAAAAATTTAATATAATAATTAGAACTGCCTTCAGGGATCTTAACGAAGAATCCTTTAAGAATATAGACGACTTAAGCAACGCCAACAAAGAAGCAATATCTAGTCGAGCATGCTCATAAATTCAAGGTCCTGACGTTTACAGATATACCAGTCCTGGAAACGAGGAGTGGACTGAACTGTAAAGAAAACCAAAAGAACTACACTTAGAGAGACGACAAACCAGAGTATACAGATGACACCGCAGGGTACATAGGGACATATTTAAACACGAGGATAGGATCAAGAGGAATGGAATGAGCTGGATGAGGAAGATTTAAATACGCTCCATACACAGTTTCAAGATTATAATAGAACTCAATTATTATTATATTCATGGGGAGCGCTGAACTCTTAAGGGTCATACAGTGCCTTGGGGAAAGGAAGGCAATCAGGTTCTATCCTTGAAAAGAGAGGAATAGGTCCTGTTTCTGGATCAAGAGCTCTTCCCCGACATTAAGGCACTCCCTTGAGACTTCATGGACTCAAAGTTCAGGAGTTAATAACGCCGGTCGATTGCAGCTAAAAGAACGGAGACATGTGCTGAAATTCTACCCCCGCAACCACAACACTGAGTACCTACATACGAACACACGTACACTGCAAATCTGTATGCAATGATGAGCATAACATAATGGAGCCAGGATAAAACCCGTGGTGGTACACCTCTTTTCTCTTATTCTCCCTACTATCTTCCAGTAACCATGGCTGGAACACAATACCTTTCCTCAAAGAGGGTCAACATTTTCACACTCGCTCAAGTATATGGGAAAACAAGTAGGTGCAGGAATTGTTCGGAGTTGATTTGTCAAAACAATGTGGCAACAATGGTTAAGCCCCTCCCTCTGGCCTCAGGTTGAGGTGTGATCCTTGCCACAGTGGCTCTCACTACCTGCTTCCCAACAAGTACGCCGCCTCACCACAACAAACTCTTAAGTAAGTCTATTATACTTTTCTGAATTCGCTCGCGTGTTTAGGCAGCATCCTCGTGAAGAATGAGCAATGTATAGGAACAATACCTGAGCTTGTTTACGTTATGTAATGCACCTGACAGCATCACCCGGATGCTGAAGGAAAGTTGGAAAAAAAAAAAGACCGTGTGTTTCACTGGCTGCCTGGTGACAATAGCTCATGGCGGCCTGATTTCCTCTGAGTATGGAAATATAGATACCCAAACAATTTTATATTGGAAGAACGGTGAGTATTATATCACTGCCTCATGATTGTATATTATTATTATAATCAAGGGGGGAAGCGCTAAACCCAGAGGATTATACAGCGCCTGGGGGGGGATGTGGAAGGCATTCAGGCTTAATTCGGGGAACTGGAGCACAGATCCAATTCCCTAAATCAAGAGCCCCTCATGATTGTATAAGATGTACAACTGTGATTAGCATTAAGACTTATGTTGCTATATTTGTTTTTGACCGAGTAAGTTACTCTGGTCACAAAAAAATTACGCAGTGTTCCTCCATATCCTCGTACTGGGTGAAAACGGAAATAAAAAAAAATATACTTCGTTTTGAGCTCAAGTTATGGAAAGCACAGAGATCGCCAGGGCATTATTACAGGGGGCAGCTTACCTGTGCTTAGAACCCCAAACATTTTTTTTATTATTATTTTTCGGGGGGGGGGGGGAAGAGGAAGAACTTTTCTATACATTTGTAACAAAGTACACTATATATATTTATACAGTTGATAAGTACGGTGCTTAAAGTATATCAAAATAAAACAAAAGAAGCTTAACAGTGTACTTTGATAATTTTCTATAACAAAACAGTATTAAATACATGTTACTTTATGGCCTTTAATGAAATCATAAAATACAGCAGGAAATTTGTCATTTTGTGTACCAGGTCATGAAGTTGAAAGTGACCTTTCGAATCAGTTTCAATTTACATGTATTATTTATCAGGGTTGATTGTGCCCCCCTCCCTCAAACAGCCCGAGGCTTCCGTCTCAATGATAATCCTCTGGACAGTAGGGAAGAGCGGTTTATATTTACGTAATAAACTAATACGTGTTAGTGGTTCCAGATGAACCTTACTCTACCATTTTCAACTAATATTCACTATCCCAATTTAAAAAAAAAAAGTGCTGTATAAAATAAGGCGGAAAAATAAGCATACCGGCATGTTTGAGTTATCTTTGATTTTAATGAGCATCAGTGGGATGCAATGAAAGTCAGACGAGGCAAGACATTAATGTTGAGGCGCTTACAGAATGCTGGTAAGTTGCCAATAGTGTTTAAAGCTCTGAAGGTGCAAGCGAATTACTTTAGAAAAGGTGGTCTGTATGTTCATTCTTCTTGTATGGTAGCAATTATATATACGTTACATAGTGATGCTAGTGTTTATTTTCGTGGTCAGCTCTGTGCTCTCGTGGTATTGAATGTGCTGAAGTCCGGCATAGTAGTGTTGGTCAGCCGGTTGTGTAAACCTCCGCACTAACCCAAGGTTTCTAGCTGGGGTTTCCACATCCAACTTACCAAGTCACACTGCACTTAGAGGTAATAAGTTCAGATCATCTTGGCAAGGCTGAGTGAATCTTCCTCAACTGGTTTGCTTGTTTTAATTAGTCATGGAAGGTATTGGCTTTCATATTTTAAATATATTTGAGATTTTTTTTCGCTATTTGCATCTATTGAGGAGTGTGTAGGTATAGTCAACCCAGATCTCCCATAATCATCTCATGACACTGCCAGGTAGTGATCGCCTGTGTTTTAAATGGTATGTAAAACCTTGCTCCTGTAAGCCAGGGGATGTTTAACCAGTTACGAGTATCACTTGGTAAAAGAGCCGTGTTAGGAGACATTTGTCCTGTTTCATAACGACTAAACCGCTACCATTATATATAATCTGGCAGTACTGGGATGTGTATACCGGTTTGTGCGTTGCATAGCCTTCATGTAAAGTCAGTGTTGCGAAGTTCTGTTTAGTGCAGTTATGGCTGCTTTCTTATCAGAACCTGTTTTATATACAACTTATGTAGTCGCGTTGTGCGAGGGCGGTGTTCCCATTCTTCTATTTTGGGTCTTGTATAATATGAATATTCTTCAGTGTGTTTGATTAATGGTAGTTGGTACTTCATGTTGTGCCATGGACATGGATTATTCAGTGACTATATTCCGCGGTGTTACAGCCGTGTTGTGAAACCCTCGCCTCCTTAGTAAATCACAATATAACCCGTACCATCACCCAAACATGCTTGACGAGTTTCACAAACACGCAAAACAATGGGTGTTAGTTTTTAAGGCAATGTAGCACAATAAATGCCCATTTTAGATCTTGAGCTCTGATTGATCTTCCCAAGAGAAGGGGGTGGTGCCTTGATGCCGGTGAGACTCACGATCCGTGAGTAAGACCCAGTACGGATTTGGGGTTTAATAGATATAACACTGGTCTGCATTTGGAATGTTTTTAATTTTTATTTTTATTCTTGGGCTGCTGACTGTAAATATCTAAACCATTTTCCTCTATCACGTAAGGATTTTTAATAAAATACAAATTAATTATAAAAAAATGTGAATTTTTAATAAATTGTTAATTTATTAAAATTAGGCAAGCAATCATGGAAAAACACATTCTGTTAGTTTTAAAAACACATGAATTCCAAGTCAACATGAATAAAATCAGATGATTTTATTAAAAAATATGCTCCTAATGGTTAGCCTACATATTGAATCAAAGGAAGGAGGACCTCTTTGATTTTCACTTGTGCTGTGCATCGAGCCCATTACGTTTCAATGACCAGCAGTAATCCGCCATCATGCTGAAATTCCGTTTGCCATGGTATCGAGTTTCCATGGTGCAGTTATCCTGATGGAACCGCTCTCCTTATTCCTCACTGTAGTCCCCACAATTGTTGGGAAAATAGTCAAGATGTGAGTGCAAAAAGTACATCTTCACACTCATTCTAGACCCAAGTTGTTGGAAACTTGAAATCAGGCCTTGGATCATTTTTTTTCATATTCGGGGGAGTGCCTATTTCCCAGGAAGTTGTGGACAGTCTGCTTGAATGAAAATCAGGCATTCGCCTGGATACCTGCTAATGCTTCATCAGAATGCTTGTCCTTCATCAATTCCCGAATCTGAGGGCCAACAAAGATTCCTGCCTTTAGCTTGACTTCTCTTATACGAGGACACTTTGACTCCAGGTACTTGAGAGCAGTTCCATTCTTGTTCAAGACCTTCACAAAATTTTTCATAAACCCTAATTTGATGTGGAGTGGTGGCAGAAGAATTTTCTTGGGGTCAACTAGTGGCACAGTTTTCACGTTGTGATTTCCAGGTAAGAAGCTGGTTCTTGGTGGCCAGTCTTTTTGTTCATAGTGCTGGCTGTCTGCCCTACTATCCCAAAGACACAGAAAACAGGGATACTTGATGTATCCGCCTTGAAGACCTAGTAGGAGAACAATAACTTTTAAATCACCACAAATGAGAAAATTGTGATTCTGGTACTTGATTGCAGATATTAGTGTGTTGATAAATTAGACACATGTGCAACTCTTGGGTATCTTTATTGAGGAAACGTTTCGCCACACAGTGGCTTCATCAGTCCATACGTAGGAGAAACTTGAAGAACAGGAGGAGAATGAGGTAATCGGTCCCTCAACCTTGAGTCGATGTGTTCAGTCCATCAATCTTGAATAGAATACTATTCTATTCAAGATTGATGGACTGAACACATCGACTCAAGGTTGAGGGACTGATTACCTCATTCTCCTCCTGTTCTTCAAGTTTCTCCTACGTATGGACTGATGAAGCCACTGTGTGGCGAAACGTTTCCTCAATAAAGATACCCAAGAGTTGCACATGTGTCTAATTTATCAACATGTCGGTTCTCTGAACCATTCATCTACAAAGATATTAGTGTCTTCATATTTGCGTAAGTTTCTGATTTAACATTTAAGTCAATATAAGGTAAGCATTTTAATTGGTAATATACCACTTTCTCATTATGTTATACGAAAAGAGAAAAGTAACTTGGCAACCTGATGTGATAGAGATGAATAAAAAACACAATGAATCACTATTTTCCATATATATGTACCGAAAAAGATATCATAGAGTCAATAAAAATAAAATCACGCAGACCAATATATACTCGCCTTCGTCTCCACCCAAGTTTGGTGCCGAGTTAAATTTATAAGGAAGACACATATGCAAAGTGTGGGGAATTTTTAGAATACATTGAAATTCTACCTTAATATACCAATATATGTTAACATTCTGACTTATACACCAGTAAACATTGATATTCTGCACTAATATGCAACACAGTGATATTCCCCCGTAATGTACTCCCCAGTACCTTCTCAATTCATTGGATCGAAGTTCGTGGTGAGCGAAACATTAGACTGAAGGCGCTCCTAGTGAAACACGGGATTGAGGTTCCTGGTGAGCGAAACACTAGGTTCAGGAAACTCTTGGTAAGTAAAGCTTTGGATTGAAGACGTTCCCGGTGAGTGAAACATTGGATTGCAGAAGTTCCTGGTGAGTGAAACATTGGATTGCAGAAGCTCCTGGTGAGTGAAACATTGGATTTAAGAAGTTCCTGGTGAGTGAAACATTGGATTGCAGAAGTTCCTGGTGAGTGAAACATTGGATAGAAGAAGTTTCTGGTGAGTGAGCAGCGCTGTATGACCCTTATGAGTTTATCGCTTGGTTTTAATAATAATAATAATAATCCTGGTGAATGAATCACTGGATTGAAGACGTTCTTGGTGAGCAAAATATTAAAGAGACTCCTAATGAGCGAAACATTAAATTGAAGAGGCTTCTAGTGAGCGAAACACTGGACTGAAGCTCCCAATGAGCAAAACATTTGATTGAAGCTCCCAGTAAGTAAAACATTGGATTACAGCTCGTAATGAGCGAAACACTGAAGCTCCCAGTGAGCGAAACATCGATGCTTCTAGTGAGTGAAACATCGACGCTTCTAGTGAGTGAAACATCGAGGCTTCTAGTTAGCGAAACATTACGCTCCTTGGGAGCGAAACCGATGCTTCTAGTGAGTGAAACATCGACGCTTCTAGTGAGTGAAACATCGACGCTTCTAGTGAGTGAAACATCGACGCTCCTAGTGAGCGAAACATCGACACTCCTAGTAAAACATTCAAGAAGCACCCAGTGAGCGAAACATTGAAGCTCCTAGTCACCGAAACATTGAAGCACCCAGTGAGCGAAACATCGATGCTCCTAACGAGCGAAACGCGCTCCTAGTAAGTGAAACAAGCTCCTGGTGAGCGAAACATCGACGCTCCTAGTAGGCGAAACAAGCTCCTGGTGAGCGGAACATCGACGCTCCTAGTGAGCGAAACATTGAAGCTCCTGGCGAGCGAAACATCGACGCTCCTGGTGAGCGAAACATCTACGCTCCTAGCAAGGAAACAAGCTCCCGGTGAGCGGAACATCGACGCTCCTAGTGAGCAAAACATCGACCCTCCTAGTGAGCGAAACATCGAAGCTCCTGGTGAGCGTAACTAGGATGCAAGTTCCACGAGAGTCGTGCTCCCTTGTTATAATACAACTCATGCTCCCAAGCAAGAATACGTTGATGAGCCATTTATTAAACTTGCGGAAAGACACGTTGGCCAATGGAGACTGTTGTTGGCTTGCCACCATAGCGATATCACTATCCTCCCCACCACCCACTGTAGTGTACGGTCTTGCATCAATGATCTGGCAGAGCGGAGCCCCAAGGTAGCTAGGTATTCTGCTGCCGGCTTATAACGAGGTCCAGGGAGGGCATATTCATTCCTCTTGGCATAGTTTAGAGCTTAACTGGTACTGCTACTGGTGCAAGTCAGTCTGGACCGGACCGTTGACTGGTACCGGTGCAAGTCAGCCTGGGCCAGACCCGTAACTGGTAATCTCTCTAATGTACAGAAATATACCTAGTTGGATGAATCTTATGAAGCCTGAGTAAACCAGTGGTGAGAGGACTGGCCTGCTAATTTTACGACTGGCTTGAAATGGGTTCGAATCCTTTCCATTCCCTGAATAATTTTTGTATACAAGTCATACTTTCCAGACTCAGGCAGGAACCTAATCAGATTGAACATAACATAGTGTGATGTAATGGTTTAGAAAACCGACAAATTGAAGAATGAGACACTGGTGCAACATTTGGAAACTTTTATTGAGGAAACGTTTCGCCAGCCAGTGGTTTCTTCAGTCCAATACAGAGAAAAAACGATGAACGATGAGGAGAATGTGGTAATCAGTCCCTCAGCCTGGAGTCGATGTGTTCAGTCTATCAGTCATGAGAAAAGTACAGCATATGCTCGGAGAAGTGGCTTATATACTGCAGTCAGGTGAGTAGAAGCAGGGAGAGGCAGAGTCACTATTGGACAAATCCACTAGTATATGCAAGTCATGCCTGTTAGGCAAGCTGCCTCCTGCTTCTGCTCACCTGACTGCAGTATGTAAGGCACTTTTCCGAGCATACCTGGAGTTTACCTGGTTCCGGGGGTCAACGCCCCCGCGGCCCGGTCTGTGACCAGGCCTCATGGTAGATCAGAGCCTGATCAACCAGGCTGTTACTGCTGGCTGCACGCAGTCCAACGTACGAGCCACAGCCCGGCTGGTCAGGTACCGACTTTAGGTGCTTGTCCAGTGCCTGCTTGAAGACAGCCAGGGGTCTATTGGTAATCCCCCTTATGTATGCTGGGAGGCAGTTGAACAGTCTTGGGCCCCTGACACTTATTGTATTGTCTCTTAACGTGCTAGTGACACCCCTGCTTTTCATTGGGGGGATGTTGCATCGTCTGCCAAGTCTTTTGCTTTTGTAGTGAGTGATTTTCGTGTGCAAGTTCGGTACTAGTCCCTCTAGGATTTTCCAGGTGTATATAATCATGTATCTCTCCCGCCTGCGTTCCAGGGAATATAGGTTTAGGAACCTCAAGCGCTCCCAGTAATTGAGGTGTTTTATCTCCGTTATGCGCACCGTGAAGGTTCTCTGTACATTTTCTAGGTATGCTGTACTTTTCTCATGATAGACTGAACACATCGACTCCAGGCTGAGGAACTGATTACCTCATTCTCCTCATCGTTCACCTTTTTTCTCTGTATTGGACTGAAGAAGCCACTGGCTGACGAAACGTTTCCTCAGTAAATATTTCCAAATGTTGCATGTGTCTCATTCATTATATAGCTATTGTACGAGTATGTATCATGTCATATATCACTGCACTAACAATCCTTTATGACGATATCACAATATTAAGATGCTTACATTATGGATTGGTGCTATTGACATTATGAAATTCCTTCATAGCATCTAATAAATACATAGGTATACCGGAGAGGCTTTCTTGTACACATAGTTTCAACCTTTTTTGTCACAACTCTGTTACACATGTTGGTACCATGACCATTGGTATGGGTTATATGTAATCCTTAAGCAGACATCCTATGTGATGCTTATTCATATTCTTCTGGTCTGGGTATTTTCAGCCAATTCTTGTGAAAGTCTCTTAAGTTTTCGCATAGTTGGTGTTCTCACCAGTTTCCCGAGGTAATTTCGATGTTCTTACCCGGTTCTTATTACAGTCTTCCTGTTGACAGAGGTTCTAGTCCTGACGGGGTTTGTATATTTACAGGTTGATGAGATGGCCTCACAAGATTGCCAGGTGTGCCTGGAGCCTTATGACGATAAGGTGCGACGTCCGCGCTGCCTCAGCTGCGGCCACACCTTTTGCACCTCCTGCATCGCTGACACAATAGCTCGTGGACCCCTCTACTGCCCCTTTTGTCGCGTTATCCATGCCTCGCCCGTCGCCCGCGCTGATGATGTTCCTGTCAACTACACCGTCGTCAGCCTGTTGCAGGATACACCGTTCTCCATGGGCACAGAGCGCTCACTTGCGCTTCTAGCAGAGCTTAAAAAAGAAGCTAATGAGCTTACTACGACTCAGTTAGTGGCTTGTAATTGCCACCTCACAAGACTTACGGACTTTAAGAAGAGGTTGTCGGAGCAACGAAGTGTCCACCAGGTGCAAATCCAAGCACTGAGGACCCTGATAGACCGAAACGAGAGTCTCCTGCACGAAATGACTAGCACCGCTGCCCAAGTGGACGCCACCATCACCGAGGGCATGGAGAAGCGCACTACACTGGAGGCGGCGCAGGCCAGGGTCAACGCTGCCTCTACTCTCTTGGAAGTCACCGCTGCTCATCACGACGACCAAGAAAAAGACGAATCCGTCCAGGAGTGGTGTGAGTCCGCTCACCAACTGCTGCAGTCACAGGTCCTCGTTGTCGCCAGAGAGGTAAGTCATAATTTAATACAGACCGTCAGCTACAGGTATGGTCATCAGTCATAGCTGTCAATCGCGGCTGTCACTTACAGGTACTAGAATCAGTCTAGAAGGCGAATCAGATAGTCAGTCTATAGTGCCTTGTCTCGGTCAGCCCAGTACAGTCGTCAGTCACAGCCAGGGAGACGAAGTCACTAACAGCGGTCAATTTTCATAGGTCCCAGATTCCTATCAAGGGAATAGGCTCTTGATTCGAGCAGTTAGTCACCCTCCAATTCCTCCAATTCTCCAGGCACTGTATGATTCCTACGGGTTTAATGCCTCCCCATAATAATAATATACTAATGTTTGTCTTTTGGGTCAGCGTATTAAATAATAATTTGGTCCCTGACTCGGTGAGTGAGGTGAGTAGTTAGTCACAGACTAACTCGCAGTTTCGAAATCTCATTTTACATTAACTGGCATCAGCGGCATATGAATTAATCTCTATCTGGAAACCCAAATGAAGCTAGGTAGAATGTAAACCTTTGTGGCAGCAGTTGTTAGACTGTAGTGCCGGGCAAATATATTTTACTAATGTACCTTCGTGGTTCATGGGTCCTGTACGCGAATATCTGGCGGCGGGGGCGGGGGCGTTGACCCCCGGAACTCTCTCCAGGTAAACTCCAGGTAAACATCCACGTTCTTCCTGGTAAGTCGCGACTCCTGGGTTCCGCTCATAAATGCTATCGCAGGCCTGCGTTCTCGCCCATAAATCATCTTGTATAACCAATATGGTGAATTTCAGGGTTCATGTGACAATATTCGGGACACAAGACGACCTTCATGGCGATAAGGACCTTAAAGACCATAAGACGATTTTCAGATGATCTTCAGGGCCAAACGCAACTAGTAAGGGCCATTAGATGACCTTAATAGTTATAAGGCAATTTTCAGAGCCATAACATGACACTCAGGTTCATAAGACGACCTCTGGGACGAAGACAAATATTGTTTGGTGGGTCGTAAACAGTTTTGGTCAGTCTTTAATTCCCACTTTTTTTTTTTTTTTTTTTTTTTTTGCCGTAGGTGGAGCACGTGACCAGCGCCGCCCTACAAGCAGTAGTGGGTCACAGCATGTCCGCAGCCGCAGCTTCTCTAACACCCACCAATCCCAAGGTTAGTACCCAGGTCATTCCCTTATACCATGGCAGGCCACTTCCTCATCCCCACAAATCTCAATACAAGTACCCAGAATTCCTATGCTATCTGTGAGAATGAGCAGACAGTGAAGTGTGAGAATGCGTATATTTTGTATCAAAAAGTAATGATGCGAGTATGAATGACTATCTTAATTTCTGGGGTGGGATTTGCAGCTGGCTCACGACATGCCTAACACTTGGCAGCTGGTTGAGGAGGTGATGAACAAGGCTCAGCTGGTTGGTAGCGGCGTGTGCGCCATCTTGGAGACAGACGGCAGGCGGCGCTGCGCTAAGATGGTACACGTGGAAAACAGAATCTACCTCTCATCGCTCAAGGAAGGAGACCCACCCATCTATTCACACACAGTACCTGTGAGTTACCCTATTCAGTAATTATATAGACTAGCATACATAAACTTTCACCTCATTTACATTTATTTCGTAAGTAAATTTTGGTTCCTTTAAAGATCTACTTAAACACTTTACAAACCAGTCAGCTTTCTTTACTCGTCTCTGTGACATCTACAGTCCCCTCCAAGGATTTTCCATCTCTGTGCCCCTCCAAGTTCTTAAGGAGCCAGAAATTATAGACGAAAATGCCTTGAAGCAACATTAACTTCCATTTCAGACACAATTGTGCAGAATAAATGTGGTTTCATTATCTGTGAAATGTCACAAATCCTATCGCAGTCACATTACAAGAGGTCATTAATATTTATACTACTACTACCCATCCTGTTCCTCATCCTCATATCTGACATAGACAGAGATGTAATCCATAGCTCCACGTTTTCTTTTGCGGATGACACCCGAATTGCCATGATAGTGTCCTCCATCGAAGACTTCGCAAGACTCCAAACGGACATCAACCAAATCTTTAAATGGGCCGCAGAAAACAATATGAAAATTCAATGAAGAGAAATTTCAACTACTCAGATATGGAAAACTTGAGAAAATTAAAACTATCAGGGTATACAACAAATTCTAACTACACAATAGAGCGAAAAGCTCATGTGAAGGACCTGAGAGTGATAATGTCAGAGGATCTCACCTTGAAAAACCACAACAATGTATCTACCTCATCTGCTGGAAAAAATGATAGGATGGATAATGAGAACCTTCATAACAAGGGATGCAAAACCCATGATTCTCTTCAAATCGCTTGTTCTCTCTAGGCCGGAATACTGCTGTACACTAACTGCCCCCTTCAAGGCAGGCAAAATTGCTGACCTGGAGAGTGTACAGAGAACTTTTACGGCATACATATGTACGATAAAGCACCTAAATTACTGGGAACGATTGAAGTCCCTTGATTTGTATTCCCTGGAATGCAGGCGAGAAAGATACATGATAATATACACATGGAAAATCTTAGAGGGATTAGTACGAAACTTGCACACGAAAATCACTCCCTACGAAAGCAGGAGATGTAGCATTCCCCCAGTGAAAAGCGGGAGCACCACGAGTACACAGAGATAACACGAAGTGTCAGGGGCCCAAGATTGTTCAACTCATTCCTAGCATACATAAGGGGGATTACCAATAGACCTCAAGAAGGCCCTGGACAGGCACATAAAGTTAGTAGCTGATCAGCCGGGCTGTGGTTTTTACGTGGGTTTACGTACGGCCAGCAGTAACGGCCTGGTTGCTCAGACCCTAATCCACCACGAGGCCTGGTTTCAGACCGAAACCCTCTCCAGGTACTACTACAACTTTTTCCTGACTTGACCCAATTCTTCTTTTTTTATACATCCTCTGTGTTGTATTTTTTTTATATTGACTTGCTAAAGCTCCTGAAGAGCAAAACGAAACCATAATAAATGTCGCAGAATTTGTTCTTCCCTTTTACTATTCATGTCAGATTTCCCTTTATCCCTGTGTACTGTGTTAATGTTGGATGCTCACGAAGTTATATAGTTTCAAGTACAAACGATAAATATACTTTTGAAATAAGAAAATCATACATTTTGTTTCATTGCAGATACACAAATAACCAACATAGTTTCTTTATATGTGCGGATTATTGGTGTATTGTTCCAGCCACGATATTGTGACTTTTTTTTTTCTTTCACTGCAGATATTATATGGGATAATCATTATATGCCTGTTTCTTGTGAGGATTTTTGAATGATAGTTAATATTTTTTTCTTCTCGAGATGCTTTATTGAATGGATAACTTTGGCCTTACAGCGGCCTATTTATATATATACGAAAGTCTTTAAAAAAAAAAAAAAGCCTGATTTCCTCGATAATTTTATAGAGTACTGAGAATATGGATGTTAAAGGATAAATCACAATACCGTGGCTGGAACAAGTTCAGCCATACCTTGTTAAAATATAAAGTAATGTAATTAAAAAATACATATAAGCTATTCTATAATATTTTTGTGGCTGAATTCATTTTTTTTTCATGTCTACATAAATAAGCCAATGCGTTTTTCGCCAGATATAAACATGTAAGTATAGTACGTTACCACAAACTTATTAGCTATCAAAACTTTGGGCCCAGTCCCTGGAGCCATTATTTACCTCTGTAATATTTGGACTACTACCCACAGGATGTACCATAATACAGATATTAAACTAGCTGGAACAATTCACAATTAACCTGCTAAACTTTCCTCTAGTAAGCATGGCTTATTTGTGAATGTGGGCTTTCGTAGTGATTATGAAACTGGCATGCAGTACAGATGTGGAAAAACGGTGTAACCCAAAAATAAAACATGGACCTGAATGTCAGGGCCCAACTGGAAGATCAGATATTATGGTAAATGTTAATAAATTCGCTACCTTTTATCTCCCGTCCTCCCCCCTCCCCCTCACACACATACACGTATCTTTGTCAACAGTAATTCACAACCCACAAATTGGAAATGAAAACTAAACGATGGAAACTATGCGGATCGAAAAGTCTGATTTTCATTTCTAATTTGTGAGTTGTGAATTGCTTCAGCCACAGTCATCCAGTTTTTTGTGTGGATGTGATGATAATCCTTTCATAGTACTGAGTTTATTCTTCTCTGTTATGTTAATCTTATTCTTTGTCTCATTTTCATTGTCATATTCTGAACTGTAGCCCCGGTGGCCTGGTGGCTAAAGCTCCCGCTTCACACACGGAGGGCCCGGGTTCGATTCCCGGCGGGTGGAAACATTCCGACACGTTTCCTTACACCTGTTGTCCTGTTCACCTAGCAGCAAATAGGTACCTGGGTGTTAGTCGACTGGTGTGGGTCGCATCCTGGGGGACAAGATTAAGGACCCCAATGGAAATAAGTTAGACAGTCCTCGATGACGCACTGACTTTCTTGGGTTATCCTGGGTGGCTAACCCTCCGGGGTTAAAAATCCGAACGAAATCTTATCTTATCTTATCTTAACTGATGTCTTCTTGGTGAGAAACCAGTCTACAATTAGCTGACTTACGATCAAGCCTCCTTCACTTCTTGAGCTAAATGATCCACACGGGTTTAGCTCATCAAGAAATGCAATACAATTATTCATTGTGTTACTTTTCCTGCAGTACCGCGACGTGCGAGGTCTGGTGGATGAAACCTGCGTGAGGATCTTCCTGGAACTGTCTTGGGGAGGTCAAGTTCAAGGACGTGTATGTATCAAGCTGCTCAACACAGCACCCAGGACACGACAGTTCTTCTTCCTGTGTTCTGGAGAGCGCGGCCCTTCATACGCCAACACCAATCTGTTCGAAGTTGAGAGCCGAGGGCAACCTGGTGAGCGGGTGTGGGGCGGTGACTATGAAAACAATGATGGCAGTGGTGGGTCAGCTCTTCCAGGTCTGATAATGGGTGACCTCAATGTGCAGACGGTGACGGCGGGGCTGGTGGCCGGGTACTGTTATGGCGACGAGCACCGCAAACCCTCACACTTCGTCATCTATAATAATGACTGTCCCGTCGCCTACGAGGAGTGCCCTATAGGAAAGGTAGAAAGTGGGATGGAGTTGGTGCGGGCAGCTGCTAAACTGCCCAATGTGCAAGACACCGCTATCAGTGACTGTGGAATTGTGTTGTGTATCTGAGACTAATTATATACGGAAGGAAACCCTGGACACGCCGTCACACATGTGAGAAAAATTAAGTGATCCTGAGCAGTCTTCATCGCGTAATAACCTAATATGAAAACGTTTTGTGTTGGGTTCAAAACGTTAGTATATTGCGTATTTAGAACTGTCTCTGATCATGAAGTACTGTAGTGTGACTAGTTAATGGTCCAAGTCGGATCGAAACGTTGTCATAAAGTTTCTCCTATGTGCTGGTTATTTGTGTACTGTAGTGGTGTGAAACATTGAGCGGGTATATGAATTATGTTGCACTATGTGTACTTTACAAAGCCTGGCATTCCTGCTTAGAAATGGATGACCAACTGTATGTAAATGTGTTAGGAAGATTAGTGTTGTTGGCTGGTTTAGATGACAATGCTATGGAACCGGCGGACTGGGGGGAAGGGGTCCTCACTGTGCAAATTTTCTTTTAAAAATATTTAGCAGTTCTATGTCAAATGGTGATATTTGGCTCACCTTGAGATATTAAAAAGTCAAACATATTTATTAAATCGTGAAATGTTGAAAATTATTTTATTAAGGAAGACCAAGCATACTTCAGTCCCATGTTAATTAAACTCATTTCCCCAGTTGCTACGTAAGTGCCTGTATTTATCATGAGGTGGATAGCTTAACCTTGTCTCGATAGGATCTTCCCTATTTTTCACGAAGTTAATTTTAACAGTAATCTTGGTTTAGATAGGTTTGTAGGTAAAATATTTCAATAGTTTACTACTCTGTGAGAAGACAAGACATGTCTGTCGTGCACTGCAGTTTGGCAGGCTGGAAGCTGTTGAATTAATTTTCGTGTTGAAAATAAATTATGTGATTACCTAACAACTGTAAGAAAGCATAAGATGTGCAACAACAACGTCGCATAGATATAACATTTTCGTCAATGCAAATATTTGTTTACTGTAAAAACTAGCTTCGAGATCTGGCATCATTGGATTAGTCAGCAGCCATGATGAGACATTCTCATTCCCTTGCATCTCAAAACTTTAAGATATACATTTTTTACACTGAATTTATAGGCTAAGAGCTGTTCTCTTATCAGCTCATTTTAAATCCTAGTCCTATCCATGCCATTCCCAGAATGCTACCCATAACTCCACTAGCCTGACTAATTACGTTTGGTACATTGAAAGCCTATCGACTGCACGTGGGTCAAAAGCTGTAATTCATTTGTATACAACAAGAATACTTCCATAAAATAGTGATTAAAGTAAATTATCGAATGTATATATACGAAGATATATACCCCTCATGGTGCTAAGTAGGTTTTTTTTTTTTTGTATTATAAAGTGTGCTAGGTAGGTATTGTACTAAAGACATGCTCATACCAGAGACAACCTGATAAGTCATCTGTTAGTTAAACCTTCAGTAGTCTCTCAGGATTACATAACTCATTGTTATTTTTTACACGTGATTAACTTAAAATGTTTCATTGTTAGTGGCATGCATAAGCATTATTAAGTTATTTTCTTGGCAATATTGTAATAGGGAACACGTCGAGGTTCCTGGAATCATTTTTGACTGATCTAGGTAGAATACGAACGATTGTGAAGTAACTGACAGGCACTAGGTGGAGTTATCCTTCAAGATCAGGTGGATTATTATTATTATAATCAAGGGGGAAGCGCTAAACCCGGAGGATTATACAGCGCCTGGGGGGGGGATGTGGAAGGTATTCAGGCTTAATTCGGGGAAGTGGAGCACAGATCCAATTCCCTAAATCAAGAGCCCTTCACCAACATCAAGGAACCTTCCTTGAGGGGAAGATCAGGTGGAGTTAGGAGTCTGCGTTGTCACCCTCCATGATTAGGTGGAGTTGAGTGTAGGTGGGCACCCCAACTATCGTCACAGAGTAAACAACTCTGGCAGGTCAGGTAGCATTGCCAATCAAGACAACTTTTATGAATTAGCATTTAGCAGTGGTTTTATAATACAGCCGAGAGAGGCAGTTGTTATTATTATATTCATAGGGAAGCATAGGGGTCATATAGCGTGAGAGAGGCAAAATGTAGTGAGTGTTTAAGGAAGTAATTGTAACTGGACTGTGGTTTGAAATTGACCATACTACAAGTTCAGGAGATTGATAAAATGGTGCTGTGTATGAAATGTATTTTGTTAAATATATTAAATAATATAAAACTTTACTTTTATTTCGACCTTTTTCTTTACAGAACGTAAAGGAAAAAATGTATATGAAATCACTTTACGTATACCATCACCCGTTTCTTATGCTTAAACTGAAGTTTACAACTTTGCTCAAAGGGATATACACCGAAAGGCGTTTAGCTTTCAGTGTACAGACACTGGGAAGTTGCTCTTCTCCCTATTTTAGGGATTAAAGTATTTTAAACTGGTAAGGAAAAGGTGACATACATCCTTAATGACCCTTTGAGTAATCGATAGAATTTAGGCCACATTAATCAACGTAATTTTGCTCCTAAAAAATAATTCGTAGTTATTTTTTTTTCAACAAGTTGGCCGTCTATTGGTGAAAAAGAATAGATGCACCACATTTTGCGGCTTCTCTGGTCTATATAACATTTTACAATGTTAGATCAAGAATTATGTTAGCATACCCATCACGCAGGATGGTTTTAAAGAACAGATCATATGTCATAATAGGTTGGTTTCATGAGTATGGATTATTATAATCAAAATCACGCTAAACCCACTAGGGTAGTCATGAGTATGAGATGCTTGCAACAATGAAAGGTTCATATATAGCTTGTAGAATGGGAGGTAATCATTAAGAGCCCTTCACCATCACGTCTGAAGGCTGTTGAGCGGTGAAAGACGCAATAGATGACTTCAGCAGTGAAATTCCGAATTAGCTAACATGACCAGGAATGCACTGCGTTTCATGTAGCTAGATGCCATTAGTGAGACACTGTAAAGTATAAAATAAACACTTACCAACGTTTGGGACGTTCGTTGACGCTGGTAAGATAAGATTTCGTTCGGATTTTTAACCCCAGAGGGTTAGCCACCCAGGATGGGTCAGTGCGCCATCGAGGACTGTCTAACTTATTTCCATTGGGGGCCTCAATCTTGTCCCCCAGGATGCGACCCACACCAGTCGACTAACACTAGGTGAACAGGACAACAGGTGTAAGGAAACGCTTCGAAGTGTTTCCACCTGCCGGGAATCGAACCCGGGCCCTCCGTATGTGAAGCGGGAGTTTTAGCCACCAGGCCACCGGGCTCTTGATCTGGGGAATTGGATCTGTGTTCCAGTTCCCTGAATTGAGTCTGAATACCTTCCATCTTCCCCCCCCCCACACATACACATGCGCTGTATAATCCTACGGGTTTAGCGCTCTCCATGATTATAATATTACTCACCAGTAGCTTTATCAATCCACTGGACTGAAAAAGCCCTTGGTGGGAGAAACACTTCCAAAATAGCTACCCAACGATGCGTGTCTCTTGTTTACATACATGTCATGTTTGCAACAGAAATTGTCTCAGCTGTCCATGAACAGGATTGCTATTTCTTTGCACTGCTCGCCCACCAGTAATATAAATTTCATAAGAACGTAAGAAAGAAGGAACACTGCAGCAGGCCTGCTGGCCCATGCGAGGCAGGTCCAAGTCTCCCACCGGCTTGAGCCAATGACCCAACCAACCCTAAACATTCATTCATTGCTTTCTGACAAACTGCTACATACGTCCTGGATCGCTCCCTTTGATCTATTATCTATTGCTATCCTACACTTGGCTTCCCAACATAACGTTCTCTAGCACCGAGGCAGATAATAGGACTGCTCCCATTACATTAGAACAGAATAACGCAGGAACACTGTATTAGACCTGTTAGCCTATGCTAGGCAGGTTGAACTCACACTCAACCACACCCCTCATACACCCATCTAAAATACATTTAGAGCTACGCAAAGCTGTCACTTCAATGACGCTACATGGGAGTTTGTTCCACTCATCTACAATTCTATTGCCAAACCAGGACTTTCCTACATCCTTTCTAAATCTAAATTTGTCCAACTTGAATCCATTGCTGCGAGTCTTGTCTTGGTTAAATTCGTTCATCATAAAAAAAAACCATACCACGGGCGGGGATAGAACCCGCGTGGTATGTTTTGTTTGCAATCGTGTCATTACGATTTCGTGAGTCATGTTCGTTCATCATGTTACTGTTTCGTACATTTCAATCATAATCCCGTTAGTTCCATGTCTTTCCAGAGAGGGCAAATTCAGTGCCTTCAGCCTATCTTAAAAAATATTTCTGATGCATGGCATAACATTCAACGCATTTTTTTCCATTCTGTAATATGGAGACTAAAACTGGGCATAATCAAAATGAGGCCTGACCGAAGATAAAGTAAAGTATAACCTTAGGATTTTACCAATTCTTGATATGACACCAAGAATCACATAAGCTTCATTGTACTTATGTGCTGTTGTCTTGGCGTTAAATTTCTAATAACTAGAACTCCTAAATCTTTTTCAAATTTAATTTTTAGCCTATATTTAGGGAGCCAAGGCCGGGTCACCACTACTTGGAAAAGACCCGGGCCGGGAGAATACCGGCGAATAAAAAAAAAAAAAAAAAAAACAATAAAAATACGTTGGTTAGGCTATTGTTTTATAACTTCACAAAGACATCGTGAGGGACGCGGACTACAGGGTGTTCCTGTTCTAACTTAAATATTACAGAGAGGCTTCATCTCCTCATCACACTGGCCGTACATATACCACCCAAGTTGAGTCACCCCAAAAATGAAAACATTCATTTAACAGCAGTCTTGCCAGAAGTATGAAGACTTCAGATGACCCTCTAAACTGCAACATAAAATGAGTGTGATGAATGGTTTTGAAAACCGACAAGTAGATGAATTGAGACACTTATGCACTGGACAAGCACCTAAAGTCGGTTCCTGACCAGCCGGGCTGTGGCTCGTACGTTGGTTTGCGTGCAGCCAGCAGCAACAGCCTGGTTGATCAGGCTCTGATCCACCAGGAGGCCTGGTCACAGACCGGGCCGCGGGGGCGTTGACCCCCGGAACTCTCTCCAGGTATGGGAATCTTTATTGAAGAAACGTTTCGCCACACAGTGGCTTCATCAGTCTAATACAATGTAGAAATGGGTAAGGAGAGAAGTTTGAGGTAATCAGTCCCTCAGCCTGGAATCTGTGTGTTCAGTGATAGACTGAACACATCAATTCCAGGCTGGGGGACTGATTACCTCAATCTCCTCATCTCCTTTCCCATTTCTACTTTGTATTGGACTGATGAAGCCACTGTGGGGCGAAACGTTTCTTCAATAAAGATTCCCATATGTTGCATAAGTGTCTCAATCCTTCAACATAAAATGAGATATGCAAAACATTTTTAAGGTTACCTCCTTGTGATCAGTTGTACACGGCAGTTAATTAATTCCCTTGGCTTGACTCGACCTGAGATTAACTGCATATGCTATTCTGGATATCCTTCTCTGTCAACACCTTGTGAATCAATCTCAGGAAACAGGAGCTGTAACTCGACCCCTGCAAACACAACCATGTCAATACACACTATTAAAATAAGGGATTGTTATTTGCTAATTGTAAGGGGGTGCCTTGATGCTGGCGGAGAGCTCTTAATCCAAGGAACTGAAGCTACCCTCGCTTTCCTTAGATCAAACTTGATTACCTCCCATTCCCTAGACACTGCATGACCCCTACGGGTTTAACGCTTCCCCATGAATACAATAATAATTGTAATAATATCCTGAGCGGAATTTATTTATTTATTTATTTATTTAGAAATTTTAGCATACAAACAGAGGTACAAAAAATACAGGTAAGAGCAGCATGCCAAAGGCACAATTATTACTATTATTATTAAACCGTTATAACTATTATTTTATTATTATTATTGAAGATACTCTTCACAAGATCCTGAGATAATATATTGTTTATCAAAGTATAATAGGAAAATGGCTCAAGCAAAATATTTCACTTTCCTGCACTTTCAGACGAGTCTACCCAACACATCAGCTGATATAAGGAAGTATGTAGCGACTTTGGTGGACTACGGTAAATTCGATGTACAGTAGATACAGCAAAATAATAATTATAATAATAATAATAACCTTTATTTCTACAAATTACACGACACAGTTGATAGAGACCTAGATGGCATTAGTGACATGCAGAGCATTTCGGGACTGCCAAAATTAATCTTGTCCTCCCAGGATGCGACTAACTCCTAGGTACCTACTTACTGCTAGGTGAACAGGGACAGTAGGTGTAAGGAAACATGCCGATTGTTTCACCTGTGCCAGGGATCGATCCCGCAGCCTCAGTGTGTGAGATGAGGATGTCACCACAACCCACGAGCACCTGATTCGTTAGTTAGGTTTAAAACCTATCAACTACGCACTGGTCATTAACGCTACATCTCACCGAAACACCAGCCAAAAACATTTAATTTTCTAAAATGTAGATTGAAGTAAACTGTGTATATCCTATACAGTGATAGTGATATACACCTTTTGGTGCATATATACGTGTGTAAGGACTACTGATTTGACTTCTAGGTTTAAAGTATATCGATTACACAAAAGGTCATGAAGGCCTCATGTCACCTATATACCACGTCTGGGATGCTTTAATACTTACAATAGCAGCTAAAGCTCCCGCTTCACACACGGAGGGCCCGGGTTCGATTCCCGATGGGTGGAAACATTTCGACACGTTTCCTTAAACCTGTTGTCCTGTTCACCTAGCAGCAAATAGGTACCTGGATGTTAGTCGACTGGTGTGGGTCGCATCCTGGGGGACAAGATTGAGGACCCCAATGGAAATAAGTTAGACAGTCCTCGATGACGCACTGACTTTCTTGGGTTATTTTGGGTGGCTAACCCTCCGGGGTTAAAAATCCGAACTAGATGTTATCTTATCTAAAAGCATACACACTGAGATATATAATTTTCCAACTGCACATGCACTATCGCTCTCAGTGCATACTTGTCAACAGTAATATACTCAATCGGAATATATGTAGACTGAGAAAACATTCCAACGAATCTTAAGGGGGAAAAATAACAAGAAAAAAGGATGGGCAATTTTTGTATATGCCCATCTTCAATTTTGTATAAAGATGTCAACTCTTTGTTGGGTCCCTGGGTACACTGATGGTCA